TGCATTCATGATTTTCATCAAATGTTCCAATGTTTACATCAATATTGTTTATTATTTCGTATTTAAAGCTCGTCCAATCCGTAGTGCTATTTGTCAAAGTGGGTTTGAATAATTTTCTAATTATTTTTTCACTTAGTTTTAATATGGCAGCAGAGTGATCTGAATCAAAATCATAATTATTTTATTTATTTATTTACACTTTATTCTCTATAGTTTTACGAAATTTGCTTAAATTAAGAGAATAAGAAATATGGCATTATTATTTAACAATAAAATAGTGTAAATGCTACAATAATTTAATTAACAGTGTTGTTACTTAAATCTACAATTACTTAATGCTTTAATTACTAGAAAAAAAAATTTTTTTTTTATTTTCCACAATTATTTGTTTCAATTTACCTTTACTGAACTAAAAAATAATTAACTTAAAGAATTTTTTAAATCTATATTTTACTTATATTATACATATCCATATTATACTTATAATATCAAACTAGACTATTTAACAAATTATCTACCTCACCATGCTCAAAATTTAAAAGCCATTTTTTTACAATTTTAACAAAATTGTTTAAATTCCTAATAGCACTAAATATGTTCAGGAAGTTTATTAAACAAGCGAACAGAAGTTATGTCAAAAAAGTTTCGGTAATTTGTAGTTCTAAAAACTGGAACATTAACTAGAAATCTCTGATTAATACGTAAACCATAACGATTTGAAGCTCTACTGTTTAAATAACCGCCTCTTAAGTAAAAAACCTTTAAAACCCTGTAATAGTAAAGTTGTCTAACTGGAAGAATTTTTAGATTTCTGAATTAATTAATCCATACTGTGATATAAACGATGCCGGTTGCAAATTTTTCTAATAACATATTTTTGCAAAATCAATAGTGGATATATTTTATTTTTATAAGTACCACCCCAACAACTTATGCCATATTGTAACTTAGAATGAAAAATGCCATAATAAAGCATCAGTAGAATTTTTTGAGAACACATTTTACTCAAACGATAAAAATTACGCAAAGTAGAGCGCAAATAAGATTTTAGAGCGTTTGTGTGCAATTTAACATACTATCAATAAATACACCTAAATATTTGAATTGATCGACTACTTCTACTGAGAAACACTCGGAGTTACAATAGGCAGAATGTGTACTTCCATCATTATGATCAGTACAGCTATACGTATTCATAAAAACATTTTTGCAACTAGATGAATGAAAAACAAGATTGATATCAACAAATTCCTAAAAAACATCAATTTAGTTTTATCACTTACAATAAGCCTATGTCGAAAGAACTAATATCTTAATAAACTAAGATCTTTGTTGATCGCTCACGTTAAATTAAGTGGACTATTGACAGAATAAGAAATAGCAAGATCATCTGCAAAAGCTGTTACATTACCCTCAAATTCCAAATCAAACAGTGAATTTATATATATAAGAAATAGTATAGGTCCCATAACTGATCCTTGTGGAACTCCCAACCTAATATACTGAATACTACTTAGTTGGCTACCAATTTTGACTCTTTGTGTTCTACATTCCAAGTAAGACTTAAACCAATCAAACATAAAACCACGAAAAACTAGCGCAAATAATTTATTTAAAAGAATTTCATGATTCACCATGTCAAAAGCCTTAGTCACATCAACAAACAGACCTGCACAATTTCGCTTGTTATCTAGGCCTTCATTTATAAACGAGCAAAAATTTAATAACGCATCTTCAGATGATACACCTTTTTTAAAGCCAAACTGTTTCGAACTAAAAAAGTTCAATTCATTTAAGTATTTTAAAGTTCTAACTTTTATGGCTTTTTCAAAAATTTTAGAAATTGTAGGAAGTAAGGAAATAGGCCTGTAATTATTTGTGACAGATTTATCGCCTTTTTTGAAGAGTGGAATTGCAACCGCAGATTTTAACTGGTCAGGAAAAACGCCCGAAAGAACACTAAAATTGAAAATATAAGCTAGAACATCTATAATATTAAAAGCAATTTCCTTCAACAATTTATTGAAAATATTATCAATCCCTACAGAGTTTGAATTACTTAGAAGACCAGATAATTTGGAGAAGCTCAAGAGCGGAAAAGCTATCGAAGCTGTTACGCACACTATTTACTTCCATTGTACTGTAATCATTATTAGAACCCAGACCAGAAGACAATTTTACAGCAACTGAAGAAAAATGATTATTGAACTCATTAGCAATTATAAACTCATCTGTTAACAATAGTCCATTATTCATCAATTCCAATTTCTTATTATTACTCGAGTTCTTGTTGAGCAAGTTATTAACTAGCCTCCACTCGTTCTTTATGTCACCATTACATCTGACAAATTCATTATGATAAAATCTATAACGGCATTCCGCAGTATCTTTCTTAATTACCTTGCACAGCTTATTATAGCGCTTTTTCAATTTCACATTAGAATGGTGCTTATATAACTTAACTCTTAATTTGTTTTTCAATTTCACTTTTCTCAACAAGACATCATTCATTCAAGGTTTTAACTTTTTATTTTTCATACTTGGTCTAACGCTAAATGTACATTGGGAAATATAGCTGCTTAAAATCTCAATGAATTTATTGTATGCCAAACTAGCATTTGATTCATTGTAAACAGCATCCCAAAATTCAAACAGAAGCATGTTATTTAGTCTATTATAATCTATTTTTGTAATGGAAGCAGTAATAGGAGTATTATTTGCTTTATCAACCTTTAAAGACTTAACAAGTAGTCCAATCATGCAGTGATCTGTAATTTCAAAATTAAACACACCCTTTTCACATGACTCCAAAGGAATAACACCAAAACGAGCATGAATATGATCTAAACAAGACCCAGAACTAATTCTAGTAGGTTAATTAACAAAAGAAAACAGTCCGTTATCGGCTAAAATTGAAAGATAATAATCAACATTTTCTGTATTGCTTAAAGAGTCTAAATTGAAGTCACCAACAATTATCAAATTAGAAGAATTTATATTTAAAAGCAAATTATTGAATTCATTAAGAAATACATTAACTGAAGAACTGTGTAGCCTGTATACACACATAAAAGAAAGAGAAATATCATTAATTTTACAATCAATTTTTAAAATATCAGCAGATTCAAGACTATAATTTGTAATATTTGAATACGAATAAGTATTTTTTACGAATACACCCACCCCACCAGCAGCATACGACTCATTAGTATTTGCAAAAAAAGAATAATTAGGAATGTTATACTCAACTAATTCATTTTCAAATATCCAAATTTCAGAAATAAAAATTAAGTCCGGCTTATTAACAAAAGTTTCTAAATGCACTAGTAGTAAATCGAAATTTTGTCTTAAACTTCTTATATTTTGATGTACAATAAAAAACATGTTATCATCAGAGGAAGTTTCGAAAACACTACTACAATTTAAGACGGAATTGTCACTATAACTAATATCCAAATCTAAATCTAAGTTATTTTGTTCAAAAATCATTTACCTAGAGGTTTCATAAAATTGTACAACGCCAGTATTGTTCTTTGTAGATATTCTCTGTACTTACTAGTCATGTGGCTTCTGTATGTCTTCAAATCATTAGCTACTTCCTTTTGAGAGATACCAATCTGTTCATGATACTGATCATAGATATTTCGTAGCTTTACCAAGCCAGTTGGAAGACCTTCTTGATTTATCATAACTTTAATATTAACATGAGTTATTCCATCGACACATACATCATTATTATCAAAAAGGTATGCTAGGTAAAGTCTTACATTATTATAAATTCTATGATCTCTTAGACGTGAAAGAACATATATTCTGTCACCTTGTTCCAGAGATTTTTGAGTTAAATTAACAATTTGTGGGAGCATTGGACTAATAAAGCTTGTTTCTTTTGTATCACTGCAGGGGTTAAGTGTTTCGCCTTGTACCCAGTTGGAATACTTTTTTGATTTTTCAGTATTATTCATCGAGTCAGCATTTAAAGCGTTGAAATTTCCAGTACTAGCATCATTAGCATCATCGCTATTTATATTAATATTATAATTACTTTTAACAGTACAGGTATCCCTTGTATAACGCGATAGTTACGTTCCAGGGAAATTCCGCGTTATGTGATTCGCGTTATATAAGACTTAGTTTTCATATAAATTTGGGGGTTATGTTCCAATAAGTTTTTTTACAAAATAAAATACATATTTAATAAGAAATAACATATATTTCAACTCAAAACTAAAATTCAGATTTTGTTTTAAAATTAAAACCATAAAATAAAAATAATAACAATTCAAAAAACAAAATAAAATAGATTCATGCATATAATTAAATTTAAAAAAAACTAAAACAAACTTCATTATAATTAATCTGTTTCGCTGTCTTCAAACATCCTACTTCGAGAAAGTTGTGAGCGTTATAGGAGGAGCGTCTCGAAGGCAAAAATGGGAAATTCCCGGTTTACATTGTAAACAAATATGAATACACATCCCAATAGCCAAAATGATTGTGAAAAAAATGATAAAGATATTTTTATTGGATATTGGGATTTTCAACTTCGCGTTATAAAAGTCCGAATTTCGCGTTGTACTGAAACCGATTTTTTTTCCAAATCGCGTTATATCGAAAACGCGTTGTATAAGTACCGCGTTATATAAGGGATACCTGTATTATTATTGTTATTATTATTATTTATATTTTTATTGTTGTTAACATTATTATTATCATTGTTGTTATTATTATTATTATTTGTATTCATACATTTACGCTTTATTTTTGAAAAGTATCTATTCAGCACTTTTTTATTAAAAATTGTGAAAGAACTTCCAGCAGGCGAAAATAACTTTGCAGGTGTCACATTATTTGAGGTAGAATTTGATAAAGGTTTCGTCACTTCGTTGTTTTCATTTGTTAACGTGTCATTCGATATTTGAGTTTTTAATTCACAAACATAGGTAGGTTCCAAAATTTTGAGCATATTATTTTGTGATAAATCATTCTCGTTAAACTGTAGTTGCTAGTAACCAATTTTTTTCCTTAGCATACTTAGTTTGTTTATGTAAACTGGACATTCTTTACTCAAAGTTTCATGACCAACATCAAGGTTAAGTTTTAATTTATCATTAGCAACGAAACAATTAATGCACTTAATAACTTTTTCCTTTTTGCAATCTCTGCTTTTATGTTTACCTAGGCAGTTCAAACAATTTTCCTCGTTTTTACTTTCAGCCGCTTTGTGATTAAACCCATTACATTTGCAACAACGAAGAACACGCAAAGCGTCAAACACCTTACAACGTTCCCATCCAATTGAAACTTTCTCATTTTGTAGAACTCTAGGAAAAGATTGATTGTCTATTTCAATTATAGCGTTGTACTTATCCTCACTCTGTTTTTGAATTTTATACATCTTCATAATTTTTAACTCACTTGTTTCAAGATGAAGGTTTTGAGCTTTCAACTTGTTTTTCAACTCAGCTTCAGAATATTTTGCACTAATATGGATAACTTCAATTTTTGGTTTTATCTCTGATGGTATTTTTACTTCATATTTTTCATCCAGATTGTTTTCAAGTGCTGATTTAATTTTCTTTCTTTCTTGGCTGTCATCAGTTTCAACAATAATAACCCCATTTCTTCTGTTTTCTATATTTTTAATTTTGAAAGCTTTAGGGTCGACCTTCTTACTCAAATCAGCTCTTGTTACATTGCACTTTTGTTTAGTAACTGGCTTGATTACTAGCGGCAGTTGCTTTTTCATTTTAGGAATTTTTTTGCTTATTTCAGCATTTTTTACTATGTCAGCAAACGAAAAACTTTGACCTACATTCATTTTTGCTTCACTGCCGTTTAAATTTTTAATTTCTTTACAAAGTTCATCGGTCTTTAACAGACTTGAACTTACTATACTGTTCAGTTTTTCTGAATCAGTTTTGAATACTTCCGTTATTTTTGATACTTTTTCAAATTCTTTTTCCTGTGCTTCCTTAATTCCTTCAAGACGTTCAAAATATCTGTCTTCAATAGCTCTTAGCAACTCAATTACTTCCTGTTCATTCTTTTTTATAGCACTTTCGAACTCTTGTTTGTACTCATTTAAATAATCATTGTTCTTTTTGACCGCACAATCAATGTTCTGTAATATTATATCCACATTTTGAATGTATAAAATGCATTCATCACAAATGAATTTGATGCACCTATTAGAATCTAGAAGATTGCTCGCTGCTTGTTCTAAACCTGAGCATTTGATAGCACTATGGTAAATTTTACCACAGACACCAGCACATCTTATTCCTGTCTCACCTCTAATTTTAGTTCTACATTTGGTACATTCCGCCATAACCTGAATAGTTACCGGAACAACTATGCAAAACGCGCGAATGCAAATAAAAATTAATTAAACAATATTTTATCCGAAAAAAATAAACACGTCCGATAATTTTGATTGATTTTGAATGATTGATGATTTTGAATCTTCAAGGTTTTCTGATATATTTTTCGTTATAAAAAAGTCAGCAACATCAGGAATCTTATTAGTGTCAGTAGTTCGGTAAGAACGAGTGCCAGTGCAGTGATAGCAATAACCTAATTCTTGAATAGCTTTTCTTAGCTCTCTTCCTCTAGTTGAGGTGATTCTAGAACCTAAATTTGCATGTTTGGCATTATAGTCATCTCCTATTAGATATCTATGTCTATGTTTGTACAGGAGATCTTCAAAAGTATTTTTCTTAATGCTGCCATTTGGTGGACAGTATACAGCACCAACACATAAAGTCCTGTTTAGTAGATTTAATTTTTATCGAAATAAGCTGAATTTTAGGGGTTTGAATCTTGAGTTCTTCATTATGTTCTATACTTTATTTTATTCTTTTATTAATAGTATTGCACTCATCCTCTTGGCTGATTGTTGGGATGTATGTTACCGCTGTATAGCAATCATAACCTTTTATTTTAAGGCCCGTATAATATGTCAAATGAGCCTCCGACAGCAAGCAAATTTTTGAGACGTTAAGAACACTATTAGTATTCTAAGTTACTACCCGTACCTCACTTACGTACATCTTTTCCTAATTTCTTTGGTGTCCCCGTACACACCTCAGAGTATCTATTTTCTATTTTTAATAATCTTTTAGAGATCTCATGCTCTGACATAATCAAGAAAAACATATGTTTCGACAGCTGTATGATTTTATAACTTTTTAAAACACTAAATTTTACTTTCCAAAACTGAAAAAACTTTAAACATTAAGAAAATGAGAATGTCATCATTTTCTCTCATTTTTGTTCAAAAAGTATTATCCCAGACACCTTGCATGCAAAAACTTTATAAAGTTTTTAGAAGTTTTTAAAAACTTTCTTATCTCAGACAGACTCATTATATTACTAAAATTGAATTAAGCGCGAATCTGTTTTTATTTTATTTATTTTCTTGTTTTTTTCAATAGATTTGTTGCAATGGAACGAAAAAGAAATTGGACATAGAATATTTTCGTTTCCTTGAGCGAATGAATCACTTAATATGAGCTCTTCGAAAATGCCCAATCAAATATCTTTAAAGAGTCATACGTTATCTAGATATAATTAAAAAATACAAAAATTTCTCGAAACGATCAAATCTCGAAACGAAAAACAAAAAATCAATTTTGATTTTTTTATTTCGAGAAACATAGAAGTAGACAATTAATAAAAATCAAATTTTAAACATAGAAGTTAAACGCTCGTTTATTAGGAAATGTTTGTACGATACCATACTTATGTATATACATATATCTCATATTGTAAAATTGTTACAAAAGAAATTTTTTCTAGTTTAAAATGAGAAGTTGCCATATTAGACGCTTATTATAACGGTTGCGGATTTTGATTTTTATTTCAACTATATAACCTTTGCTTTTGATTTTTTTAATTGGGTATTATTCATTTGCGCATAAATATGACACACAGGTTGGAAAGTTATTCAGTTATAACTGAAGGTCATGATTTAGAAGGGAAATACATAACTAAGAATTTTGTTTTACAGAAATAATGCTCTCATTGCGATCTATTCTGTTTATAAAGTTTAAATAAAGAATCCATCAATTATCCAAAATTATCAATAATTTTTCCCTTCTCTCTTATGTTAGTTCCTTTTAAATATGTGCACCAAAATTTGTAATAGTTAAATAAACGGACTTCACTTAAATATGTTCTAATTCCTTCGGATATACATTAATGGAATATGCTAAACAATTTTATATGAAAAGTTTCTAATAAAGCGAAAGAATGAAGAAGAATTTATAAAATTTCGAATTTTCTTTTATTGCTTATGTCGGGACAAAATCAAAGCAAGGGTTTCAAATTTTAATACTCTGTTACGCTGTAAATGATGCACACCACAAAAACGCAAATATGTTTTTATTCTGTGCATGTTTTTCTCTATCAATTAAACTTGGTTTTTTGGAGGTAGCAAGACTTTAAAAAAAAACCTAAAACGGGATATATGGAAGAAAATCAACACATTATATGTAAATAATGGATTGAACCGTTTTATTTCAAACTTATAGATCCACGAATAACCTATGGAGTATAGAGCGCATAAAAATTCCATCCATCATATGACATTGTAAATTAAGGAAACTCATTTAATTTTACTAGATTAGATAAGGCTTCTAATTAATTTTATTTTACTAAATTATTTATTTTATAAAAATACCAGTAAAAAAGTTTAAATGAAATTATTTTCTTTTTAGTGAAAAGGATATGTAGAGCTATATTTTGGCCATGCGATTTACTTCGCTGGGTATCAATACCACCAAAGTATGTATGACGCTAGCGTCGAAGTTTTCATAACAAAGTATTTAATCCAAATTCTTAGGAAATGTTGTAATTAAACATTTTATAGAAACAACTTGGGATAATATAGGATTTAGGTTATTTTTGTAAATTTATCAGCGTAAAAAATTAGCATTAATAGATCAGCAAGTCTGTTTACGTGTACAGCATTCTTCTTCTTTTTAATTAACTAAGTTTTAGTTTTACTTTTAAGAATTTTGTACAATTATTATAATATGAATCAATTGTAAGAAAAATAGTAGCTAATTTTTAAGTTTAGATATTTATTTAATTAAAAATAAAAAATTAGAAAATAAACAATCTAAAAATTAAAAAGAATTAAAATGAGCAAGAGAGAGAATGTTAAATAAATAAAAGACAAAAAAATAAAAACATTTGAATATTAGGTACTAAATTTTTAGTTATACATAGTTTAATGTAAAATATAGGTAAAGTAAAAACCAAATTATTACTACCAAATAATTTTATTTTTTCAATCGCAGAATATGTTGCGTTTTAATGTTTGTTTTATTTTTCAAATAAAGACGTATTTTAAAGCGATTTAATAAATTATTGTTTTCATATCTAATCAAAAGCTAAGTTTTATTTGTCAAATCTTCATTTTTAAAAAAAAATGTGCAAAGATCATTCATCCCGTACCATATATCTGTCAGCAGAATTCTCTAACGACACATGATTTTTGAACTATTAACGTAAGCAAAATCCGAACAGCGAATCACATTTTTATGAATACATATTACAATGAAATTTTTCGCCATCATTTTTTTTTAGAAAGGGTCACGTGGTCCCTTTTCTAAAACTATTTGAAATGTCGGAAAACTATATCTACATATGTACATATATGTACTATACAGGCTGCCCGCGACTCACTGGTATTCCCGAAGATTAAAAAAATTTCTTTTTGTTTGAAAAATACTTTGTTCTAGTTGATTTTCTAAGGTTCCCAGTTTTTCGCCTTATTGACATGTCATTTCTAAAATTTTTCCCAAATTATGTTATACTAAAATGAACGTCAGAATATAGGGCTCTTCTTCCTGTAAAAAAAATCGATAGAGCTAAAAAATTGAGAGAGCTAAGAGACAAGGCATTGGAACATTTGATGAAAATCATGAATGCAGCTATAGATTATGTTTATGTTCCTTGGGCTTGGAAGGTCGCATGCCCAAACCAGGGAAAACCTTGAGGGAAATAAAGTCCTATAGGCCCATTTCACTGTTACCAATGATGTCTAAGCTTTCTGAAAAACTACTATTAAAGAGATGAAAGCCAATAATAGAAAATAGGAGCCTCATACTAAACCATCAGTTTACGTTTAGAAGAAACCATTCTACAATAGACCAGATCTATACAATAACGAATATTATAGAAAAAAGCTTAAAAAAAACCAAATGACTCCTCTATATTTTTAAAAGTAGCACAGGCATTCGACGTAGCACAGGTTTGGCACAAAATCTTATATTTAAGTTAAGACAAGTGATACCATCACCATTTGTAGCAATTTTGGAATGTTTAGAATTAATTTTGGAATATTTAGAATTAAACAAGACCCTGAATTCGCCACTCTAAGAGAAATAAGTTGGGTATTGGGCCCAACATTGTACATGCTTTACACGAGTAACCTACCACAAATAGTGGCTACGGTAGCCACTTTTGCTCACAATACTGCAATATTGGCAGTAGAATCGAACATTGACGATTCGACAAAAAAATTACAGGAGGCAAGTTACAAAATAAGCCAGTGGACTAAAGATTGGAAAATGAAGTTGAATGAAGCAAAATCGGTTGAAGCAGACTTCACCAGTCGAAAAATAGTGAATCCACCACAAATTAACTTAAATGGAACGAACGCAACTTAGATGTAAAGCTGGTCAAGGTGGAAAAGGCATATAAAGGAGAAACACATAGAAACAGAAAATAAATGTAGAGAAAATTGTACGCTCCTAGGTCGTGAGTCCAATTTGGCAATTGATAATAAAGTATTGATTTATAGCCAAATCATAAAACTAATATGACTATATGGCATTCAACTGCGGGGTTGTGTCAAGAAAACTCACATGAAGAAAATTCAAGCCTTACAGAATAAAGTTCGCCATGGTATGTATATACGTAACAGTGATATCCACATAGACTTAGGAATTTCTTTGGTTGTAGATGAAATTAGAAGTTGTTCTACAAAGTATAGGGCTCATCTAGAACAGCATGTAAATATGGAAGCAGCAGCTAGAGAATGACGTTATGACAGAACGACGAACAAGATCTTTCGATTTAACACGAAATGCCAATTTCCTTATGGAAGGTATTTAATTCCTATACGGAAAAACCAAGTTAGCGCAGAGGTAATAGTCTGTAGGACCGGTTTTAGCTGTTCAGAGTTTAGGTGATTTTTTAGGGTATGAGTCACGCTTACTTTCAGAGGTAAGAAGCAGGTAGCACCTTCCTTCTTCGTCTTTCGAAATTTTTTCACCTAGTAGAAAAAAAAATTTGTTCTCAAGAAAAGCTGTGTCAATTTAAAAAAACCCAAATAAAATAAGGTCGTGCTTTCAAGTTTTCCTCTAAGTATTAAGCATCATTAGACATTACTTTGAAAACAGTTCAATAATATATCAATAAGTATTAAATGAATATCTCTATTTTATAACCTTTTCATTTTTCAAATTAAGTTTACTCATGTGGATCGGAGTCATACATGCGCTGACATATAATCAGATCATCGGAAACAAAAGATCAGATTTTTAAAAAAAAAAGGAAAAATTCCTTTTAATGGAAGGAATCCTAATATGGGAAGGTATTTTGGTTTTCAACTAAACAAGATGCAAGCCCTGGACCTGACCTAATTTGTATTATGATATATTAATTCATAAGGAAATAAGGGATAAGACATCCGTAAATGCCCTTGGATGAAGTAAATTTACTTCGATACACCTCACTTCCATTCCACTTATTTCGGCTTGTGTCTATAGGAAAAGGCCCTTTACACAAAGGCTTCTCATGGGCCTTCTCCTCCTGTTTCACCTCCTTGCGCTCATGAGAAGGCGTCCATTTCGCCGCCGCAGATGCAGTATCCGTACCTCCAGCAATGATTTTGGGAGCAATTTCAAGTTCCCCAATGGGATGCGATGGCCTTTGGTTTCTCCGTGCCTGCCCAATCGGAGCAGTTTCAAGCTTTCCAATGAGCCTACATTCTTTTGTATCGTCTAAAGTACTGGCTATTATGGTACTGGATGTTGGTTTTTCATTTTTTTTGCCCCTGACGCCATCATCTTGAATTGATTTCCTCCCCTTGATCCTTACGTTGATACGGAAGAAATTCAGTAAAAACTGGAACTCCGCTTTCCGTACATTTACAAAAACGGAATCATCTACTGAGAAGGTGGTCGAGCACCGCCGTCCTTTTCCGTATCCATCTTCACTTACCTCTCTCAGTCCCTATCCACTTTCCACGAACAAATCTTGAGGCTTTTGTTTCCTTATCCTGCTGAGAAATTTGTCTCTGAAGAGATTTAGTGTGATTTTATTCTTCGGTATGCATATGACGCAAACATGTTGTCTTGGCATGCTGTCGCCGTCCAATACCATGATGTCTCAGTAGTCTCAAGGTCAAATATTCCTGCAAACACTGACGGTTCAATACTCTGGTGTTTTGGTTGTAGCATGTCTATCTATCCAACGCAGCGAATTGTGGATGAAAATCCACAACTTTATTAATTTCGTTCATGATGGCTACTTAAATTTCTCCCATTTGACTCCGATCGTCACTTTTCCGCATCACTTCGGATAACTGTTCATCTTGATCTAAACCATGGGCGATGGCCACTTTGGTTTGCACTACTCCATCCCGAGGTCATTTTTGGGCACTGTGAGAAATGTTCTCGGGCACCTTTTTGGTTTTTTAAGAGATTGTGATTATTGGATTTCATCGGGTGCGCCGCGGTTTTTTCTGCTGGCGTTAGAAGGAGTTCCTACTCTGCGTCAGTGAAGACAACCCAGACTCTTGAATCACCATGTCGCCATATTCTTTGTTGATATGGTTGTTGTGTTTGTCTCTATTCATGTTGTTCTCACGACTAGCGCGGGAAAGAAAAATCATAAATGCGTGACTGCGTGCAATAAAATAAAAGCCTGCGTGCAATAGGAAAGAATAATTATACTGCATGGCAGCCAGCGTCAAGAGTTCGCATATTAACGACAAAACTGTCTCTTAGTCATGCTGCCCTCGGCGTATACTTCCATCTTGACTTGGGACGCCTGTCTTTGGCTGACGCTTAGATATCGGGGTGAAATTTACAAAACAAGAAAGTCGCCATGAGACATGGCCACGGCACGAATGTAGTTTTTGACCACTTCAATCACCTTTCCAGCCTGCACCATTATCGGTGCTCACCACTGGGAATTCCATAGACGAAATATAGAAATAAAGCAATTTATAAGAAAAAAGTGCATTTGTCAATCATGTGTAGAACAAGCTCCCGATGGTTACTCTATGTCGCATGGTTCCGGAGTTGTAAGTATTTATTTATATACAGAAAAAATTTGGTACCTTTTCTTTTGAACATGCAGTATCTGTATGTATGTTCCCCCCTCAAATTGATCAAAGAATCATCCACGAAATTATTTTCTATCTTATTCGAAACACCCTGCTTACGCAAATAGTGCTTCCGTGCGCCTTTAAAAATGGATTGTAAAAAACACATCTACTGCGCACAATTTCCCTCTTACAATAATTCTTATGTGTTTCCTTATAAAAAGGTGAAAAAAAATACATATTAATAAATTATTAAAATAGATAATGTGTCGCCAACTAATATTTTTTTCTCGAAGCATTTTTAATATACGTTAACTATAAAAAACAATTTACCTAACTATAACCAAAAAAGTTTTAAAATACTAATCTTTTGTGATCACAAAAAACAGCTGATCACAGTGCACGTAACGAGAAAAATTTTTTCTGGCCATATTTATGATTTTTATCCAAAAAGTTTTGAAAAGAATTCGACAAGAGTCTATTTTTCTCCTTCTCTTTTGCTTGATCTAATTGCTTAATTTGCCACTTAAACCACCAATTAAATAAAATCGTCAAACTTTGCTTGATGTGTAAACGATACCTAACAAATTCGTATTGCAAAATATTTAAACTGGCAGCATTTTCTAACATTTTTTGTTTCTGATTGAGGAGTTCAAAAAATTTCTCCATTTTCTATCAAAATGTAAGGAGTCTTTTAACGAAGACGCGAGTTATATGTAATAAAAAAGGAAACTTATCATGCTTAAACAACGTGACTCCAGACTCAACATATTTCGGAATTGAAGTCTAATTTTATATGAAGGAACATTGTGGAAGTCATTGGGGTTCTCAAGGCAAATAATAAAAATTGTTTTTGAACCGACTCAATTTTATTTTTGTGTACAGAAAATGCCGGATCCCAAATAATACTGCCCTATTCAAGAACAGAACGAACAAGGGAGCAATAGAGAGATTTAGTTACTTCAGTATTATTGAATTCTCTGGCTCTCCTCTTAATGAAACCTAGCATTTTGCTTGCTTTAGAAACAATAGAATCATAATGAAAA